AAAATTAAATTTTTTTTAAATCTCTCCACGTGTAATTTAATTATTTATTTTGTTTGGAAAGCACTTTCTCGCTATTTCGTAAATCTTTCACATATTTTCTAAGTGAATTTTTTTTCTGCGGTCCTTCTCCACCGCATAAAAAAAAATTTTCTTCAATATGTTGCAAAAAACTATTTGTTATAGCTATTTATGAAATTTCTCAATATTTTTTTCTTGTACAGTTTTTTTTATGCAGTCCCCATCTACCGCAGAAAAACAGGTTTGACTGTATATATACTCATTAAAATAAGTCCTAACAAGTGTTTCAAAGTTTAGCTCTTGCGAACAAAAGCATTTTGTGTAAGATTCGCTTCGAAGATCGAAAAGAAATTAATTGCACTCTTTTGAAATTCGTTTCGTTAAATTTTTTTTAAATGTTTCCATGTGTAATTTAATTATTTATTTTGTTTGGAAAGCACTTTCTCGCTATTTCGTAAATCTTTCACATATTTTCTAAGTGAATTTTTTTTCTGCGGTCCTTCTCCACCGCATAAAAAAAAATTTTCTTCAATATATTGCAAAAAACTATTTGTTATAGCTATTTATGAAATTTCTTAATATATTATATTTTATTATATTTTTTTTGTGCATTTTTTTTTATGCGATCCCTATCTACCGCACAAAAGAAGGTTTCACTGTACTTATCCGAGCAAGTAACTTGCGAGCAACGTTCGAAGGAAACTGATCTGCCGTTTCGACGTCAGTCAGTCGTCGGCAGCCTGACGAGAAATTCAATTGCGTCTCTAACGAACGGATTTAAATTTACGCGACGAAATTCGACAACGAAACGATTCGTTTTGGTGCGATGAACATGGCGCGACACCGCGAACGCAGCCGGCAATTAGCATTGGTTATAATAGTAATTAATGCCGGCGTATTGCGGACGCAACCTGCGCAAGATTGTGGCGCGTGGACTATGTGGACTTATCGGTCCTTATCGGTGTATTACCTTGGATAATTCATTGCAGAGTACACGCGACGAAAGTAATGGAAAATATCCAATCGTGATGACTTGCATCGCATCAGTGTCTAAGTCTAAATTTAGCTTCAACGACAGTCGAAATGCAATGTAATCGTAAACAGCTGGAGGCAGTTGCGTTACACACGTGCTGCATGCGTCACAATTTTACTCCGAAATATTATCGCGCGATAATAGTGACACATCCATATTACGCGAAACGAGAAGTTCAGAGATAGAAGATTTTTATAGATGCTTACATTGAAAGCGATAATTAACGATTCCAATGGTAGAATCACCGATGACTAAATAGTAAATTCGTATACGTGGATGTATGTAAAATGTAAAATAGGAGGAAAAGTAATGGAAAAGTAGAAATCATAGAAACCGCCCAAAAATGGACAAACATATTTCACCGTATTTCGATGTATAAAATTCCCATGAAAAGATAAAAAGTGCTCATTTCAAGCATTCTGGTAGCTCTAGCATTAAAAAATGGCACAGCGGATCCTTCGTCCCACATGGTATCCATATTTGATTAGAACACTAGGGGATACCTTATATTTACGTATGCGTTGCGAGTAGTACCGGTGGAATTTTGCAGGCACGATTTAACTTGTGCCTGGTGCTAGAACGACAGCTTTAGCTGCTAATGTATATTTCAGGGCCTGTTGCTCGTGTTGTATCATTGAAAAATACGCAAATTATTTGTAACACAAAAAAAAGTATATCAGTTTAAAACGTAACGTCAGTTGCAAAAACATTGCTTTCGACCGAAAGGAAGAAAATTAGCAAACTTTTGACAGAACGTATAGTACAATGTGTCGACAAATCGTTCTAACACGTATTGTATACTATATGTATATATGTATATATATATACATATGTAGAGCTGGCACATAGGAATAATGTATGTCAACACTCACGTTCCGGTAGTTTTTTGTTGTGATCAGGGTGGAGGAAACACTCAGCACGCGGGACACCTCATACCATTTGACGACGCACAGAGCGCGGCAGCATACCGTAGCCATCCTTTCCTTACGTTTCCCCCGCGAAAAACGGTGCACCAACGCGAACCAGTAACTCGAAGCTGTCCTTTTTTTTCACGAGTCACTTAACACCAAACACTGAGAACACGAGCAACCGACGACTTCAAACGACTACCTACGACGATCGGGCGGCATCGCTTGCCGGCTCGTCCCTGCGGCCTGAGACCCCGACCTTGCGGCGGCCAATAGCGTGACATGCGCGAAACGCGCCTTGTCGTTCCCCATTGGTTTGCTAACCTCCGACCAATCGCTGCTCTGTGTATTCATCCGCGCGGCATATATTGAATATTTGAATCGCTGTTCCGCGCATCTCGTTCCTATCGAACGTATTCGAAATATAATTCCAGCAATGAATAAACATTTCTCGACATATAGTGACTCGTGAAAGTATGTGAAGTATCTTTTATGGTTATGCAGTGTTATACGTGTTGTACGGAACATTGCGAAATTTTCGTCAGCAACTGCAATGAGATTTACGAACAAGACTAAAATTTGAAACGGTATTGAAGATTTACGTAACAATTATATTTTACAATATATATGTAAAAGCTTTTTATGGCAAGGACTGAGATATTTTCATGAATCTATATTTTATACAGACTAACCTAAAAGTATTTTATATTCCTGTAGTTTATATTCAGTGATTATAAAAAATATTTGTACATACCCTTATTTTTCAATTAAGAAATCCTTTTTCACGTTCCACGTTTCTATTCTATTCTTGTATCAACTTTTTACAGTCACATGAAGTCGTATTATTAAATGATACGAAATTTAATACGTAATAAATATAACGGCATGCAGATGATTTCGGTAGCCATTGTGGATATTATCGATAGTTCATTTTACGCTATCCACACTTTCGATTAATCGATAGTAACCTGCAATATGAACGAAGATCAGTTACGTCTTGTTGGTGTTAAACTTTGACATTTACTTTAATCTTGCAAAATTTGTAATTAATTTATGTCTCGGACTGTCAGAGAATCGGAATAACGTTATAACTACTTTTTTGACAATGTGATCACATCGATTTCGATCGATTACTTACCGAGAGTATGTCTAGTCATCTGTACGATTTCAACGACAGTTACTACTATTATCCAGATTTCAATTTGATCGAGAAGAAAGACATAAATACTTCCTCATGGCTGAGTCTTGCTCGTATTGTTCTTGTTATCTTACTACGTATTGGCTTCGTCCTCATACACATTGGCAGCGTACCAGTCAACAATGTCAACTTGATCCTGTTGCAAAATATCATTGACTTTTGCTGGGTAACGATAGTCTACGCACTTGTTGGAATTACCATCGCCTACACAGGCGACATAGCAGGTCTGTTGGGCGAAGGATATTGGATCGGTGATGAAACCGTCGATAAGGATGAAATCATAATTGGCTGGTCGGCCGTGGTAATTGCTGCTGCCATTCTCACTTGTGGAATCGTGGGCCGGACACACACCGTCGGTTATCTAGTCGTAGGATTCTTGTTGGCTGGGCTGGTGCAACCATTTTTAATTCACTGGATTTGGACTCCACAAGGATGGATACGAACGAACGCATTGCAAGAGCGGGAAGTGCATTTCCACGATTGCAGCGGTTCCGTAATTATTCACCTTGCCGGTGGATTATCAGGATTGATAGGTTGCGTGACACTTGGACGAAGAATACTTCGTCTAGACGCTATAGATGCCGCGAGCATCGCTGTTGGCTCCGCGGGAACAGTCTTCGCTGGTCAATTGTTCGTGTTCATTGGTCTGCAGGTAACGTTATCGAGAAGTTAAAATTTTTGAAATTTATTTCCAAACTTATACTACGAAAACAACGTGTTATAAAAAATATATATATATATATAATATATATATAAATATAATATATATATATTTAAATATATATATAATAATAATTTAAATATATATATAAATATATTTAAAGATATATATATAATATTATATAATATATATATAATATAATATATATAATAAAATATAATATATATAATATATAATATATATATATATAAATATATAAATATATATATATATATATTTATATATTTATATAT